AATAAAAGGAGAGAAAGAAAAAAAAAAGGGAGGCATTCCGTTTGTTTCGCTTATCTCGGACAAATTTGCCGTCTTGTAAACGACACCGAAGGGTCGTCTTGACAAACTGGGGATGCTCCTGGGAGGAGTCGGTTACGCGCGGGATACACGCGGCCAACTTTCCGTCCACCCGAAGATCTTCGTAACCAACACCGAAACGAGGCGACCTCTCCTCTCCTCCGTCCATTCTCCCTCGTTCTCGCAATGATCCACAAACCGGATGATCGATCAAGACTTTCCTTTTTTTCTTGGAAAGAGAGTGGAAGAAAAGCAAAGAGTGGTGGAAGCGTAGTTATTTATCGCGAAACGTCGTCGCAGGATTTATCGCCGATGATAGGTTTCCGCCGAGAGTGGAATCCCGTTACGAGATTCCTTCCAACTCGAACCGAATTCATTGCCCTCTGGACAACACCGCTCGATTCTTCCACCGCTGATGAAAGACTGTAGATCTTGTGGTAAATTCCTCCGATTGTTGGAAGATTAAGATGTCTTCGAACTGGAAATCCTATCCAGTGGGCCGTTTAATAATACGTATACAAGCCGTGTATAATTTAATCGATCCGTGGAATCTGATTCGCGGGAAAACGCGAAGAACGGTGTCGTTAAGTGAATCGGGGAGAGAGAGGGGGATGGGGGATTTTCGTTGTTCCAGAACGCGGAGGAGCGGAGTGAAAATCGTCCCGATAAATCAAGGCCCCCTTTCCTTCGCGCAGGAAGAATTCAATCGGCCATTTATTCCCCTACCGTGGTAATTAATTATTAATTAGGATTACAGCCTCGACCCCGTAGGGCTGGCTGCCTCTCGACGACGTAACGACTTCCTTCATCTCCCCTCCCTCCCGGTGGCAAGATAAACGAGTGAAGCCCGCTAGAAGACTGCTAAGTAACTCCATGAATTTTCCGCCCTCCGCTCCGTGCCCTCGGGGGTGTAGCTTCTAATCGTCCCTATCTCCTGGCCACACCCTCGTCGTCCTCGTCTTCGTCGCGAGATCTGACCACCAAGAAGATCGTTTCCTTTCCTTTCTTTCTTCCCTACATTCCTCTCTTTCTCTCGTTCGGGCAAAATAAATATCGTATTCTCTCCCCCTTCCTTGTTCCTCTCTCTCTCTCTCTCTCTCTTCCTTCGACGACTTTAGCCCCATTTTTCTTTAGCGGCAAATGCGACGTTACGCATCTGAGGGTGGGTGTCGAGGACGAGGCTTAACGAATCTCGAAATGCCTTCCGGCACGCGATCTTTTTTTTCCTTTCTTTCTCAAATCGATTCACCCTTCTCTCTCCTCTCGCTTTTTTTTATTAAGAATATTTCATCATTGCAAATCATTGGGTATTTATAGATAATTTAATTTACAGAAGATTTATGTAGAAGATTAATAATCCGTCAATCGTCCGTTGTTTTTTTACGTTTCCACGTTTACGAAAGAAAGAAAATTGCACCGATGCAGACGAGGATGGAAGCTCGCGTGTCAAAATTGAATTGGCGCGGGGAGGGAAGGGGGCAAGAAAATGGCCGGCAGGAAACGAAGGGCGCGAAAGGAGGGAAGCGGAAGTAAATCGTGCAACCCCCGTGACGACGTCGCGCGATGACAAACGAGCGCGTCGACGTCATCGCGCAAGAAACGCCGGCGACATCTGATAACGACCTTAATCGCATTAAGGCCCGAGAAACCACCCCCTCCTCCCCCCTCCCT